TAGTTTCTTTGTAGGAGTTACCATGACCTTAAATCTGTGGGAAAACAAGCACTTTCTTGAAATGTTTCTCACCACTGACAAACTTTAGTTAATGATGGGTGAATCTTAAAAGATTCAGGTCAGATAAGCACTGTAAAGTTCAGATATTTATCCAAAAACTCTCTAAAATGTAAACTTTTTGGATATGCAGAAATGGGCTAGAAGCCATCCAATAAGACACATTCCTAATATTTATGGTATTTTTTTGCTTCTGGTCGGGTTGGAATCCTCATGAAAACTATCATTCATGTTATGTTGTAACTTCTTCTGGGCAGAACTAAGAAGCGTAGAAGTTCACCAAAAAAAAGTTAATCAAGAGTTTTCAGATTTCAAAAAGAACTTGGTTTAAGTTTGTTTCAAGTTTTGAGAAGATTTGAGACAGCCTGTTCTTTGATCCAAACTGGTCATCCATCTTTTATTAGACATTGACCCAAAAAGCAGAACCTGAAATTTTGGATTCATATCATGCCTATCTCTACTAATTATTTATTGATTGATTGATAAGGTTTCACCTGCCTTTTCTTTCAGGTAATATAAAGTGCTTTCATCACTGTGATCCACAATGAATAGTTTTTGTTATTTCCCAGATAATGAGTGAAAGCAATTTAGGTAAATCTATATGGATGAGAATGGTCAAACCCCTTCTTGAATAAGAACAGTTCTGTTTTAAGAAAGGACAAGAAACCTTTAGAAAAGGACAGATGCCTTGTTTGTCATTTGGCAAGTGACAGAGAAGTGGCTAGAGTACAAACAGGATGGCTTCTAGGCTTTTGTAGACCTTGAAAAGGCATCCAGTAAAGTGGACAGAAGTATGCTCACACCAGTGCTGAGAAAATATGGAGAGGATTTAATAACTATGGTGAATGAACTACGTAGATCACCTAAAACAGTGATCTGAACATATTTTGCAGTGACAAGCTCTGAATTGGAAGTTGGCCTGCATCCAGGGTCATCCCTCAGTCTATTGCTGTTTATCATATTGATGGACTACGTCAGCAGGAAGAACCCAATGGGAAAAGGTGAGCAGCTGTTATATGCAGCTGGCATAGCTATAAGGGCGTCCCCAAAAGAAGACCTGGAGGAAATAGTAAACCAGTGGTGTGACAAACTAAGCAGGCATGGGATGAAAATGAACATGACTAATATTGAGGTCACGTGGGTTGGTAGAGATGTGACAGGGAAACTGCATACAAAGATTAACGGAGTATGACTAAACCAGACTGACCAGTTCAAGTACCTTGGTGGCTGGGTTATGAGAGATGGCAAACTTGAAAGTGAGATACAGCCCAAACTGGGGCATGTTAGAAGAGTGTGGAGTAACATCTCAGGAGTTGTGTATGACAAGCATATCCCACTGAGACTGAAAGGCCAGGCCAAAGAGACAGCAGGTTCAACGCCTACAGGTGTTTAAAGTGAGATGTCTTAGCGCAATAAAGAGAGTTACGAGAAGGGAGAGATTGTGAAATGAGAGCATTATGACAGAAGTCAAAATTAGCAATGTGGCTGACGAAATGCAGAAAGTGCAATTTTGCTGGTTTGAACACAGAGGATGAAGGAATAGGACCTAGGGAAAGTAGCATGACAGAAAAGGGCGGTTGGAAACAGACCTTGAGGAAATCCGAGGAAGTGATGGATGGATTGCATCAAAGAAAATGGTAAGCAGATCAACCTTAGTGCTGCTTCGGACAGATGAAGATGGCGTATGTTTGTATGAAGACCCAATCCCAGGTGATGCGGGGGAGGAGGAGAAGCAGGAGAAGCAGGAGAAGACGTAGTATATGGGGAAAACCATTTAAATAAAACAAACACACACACACACACACACACAACTATTGTCAAAAACTAAAGCCTTTCCAGTTGTTGTGAAGCAGCCCTTATGGATGTTCTATTATGGAAGCCATCTCTCTGTTTAAAAATAATGATGTATTCATAGGAAAATGATGATGATGATGATGATGAAGAAATACTTTTCACTCTAATGGTAACTAAGGACAATGTCAAACAGCATCTACCAAAGCTACATATTTTATCAGCGGGTCTGAATAACTTGCATCCAAGAGTTTTAAAAGAACTGATCAAGAAGCTCTCTGAACTGCTAATGTTGATTTTCAATAAGTCTTGGTACACTAGGGAAGTTTCAGAGGATGGGAAGAAAGCTAATGTTGTGCTTATATTTAAAGAGGGCAAACTGATCCCTGTGAAAATAATGGAATGGCTGATACGGGACTTGATTAATAAAAGAATTAAAGGAGTATAATGAAATTAATGACATTCAACATGGAAGACAGATCTTGTCATCTTAACATGATTTTTGTTTTTATGAGATTACAGATTTTGTTGTTAAAGGCAATAGTGTTGATGTAATAATTTCTGGAAAGCGTTTGACACGGTGACACATGCCATTTTGATTAAGAAACCAGAATGATGCAAAATCAACATGTCACACATTAAATGAATTAAAAACTGGCAAAATGATAGGTCTCAAAACAAACAGTAAACAAGGAATCATTGAATGGGTGTGTTTCTAGTGGGGCTCCACAGGGACTAGTTTCTTTGCCCTGTGCTATTTAACATTTTTTATCAGTAACCTGAATGAAAACAAAAATCATTACTGATAAAGTTTGTAGATGACAGAAAGACTAGGGGAGTAGTAAATAATGAAGAGGACAGGTCACTGATACAAGGCAATCTAGATCATTTGGTACGCTGGGTGTAAGCAAACAACATGTGTTTCAATGTGGTCAACTGTAAAGTCATACATTTAGGAATAAAGAATGTTGGTCATACTTATGGGATGGGGAACACTATCCTGAGGAGCAGAGACTCTGAAAAGGACTAGTAGATCATAGTGGGTAATCAGCTGAACTCGACCTCCCAGTGTGATGCTGTGGCCAAAAGGGCTATTTTGATCCTTGGATGCAGAAACAAAGGGACCTTGAGTGGGAGTACAGAGGTTATATTTCTGCTATTTGTCACTGGTGTGACCCATACTGGAATACTTTGTCCAAAATTCCAGAAGGATATTGAAAAATTGGAGAAGGTTAAGAAATGAGCCACAAGAGCGATTAAAGGATTGGGAAACTTGCCTTGTAGGGATAGACTCAAGGGGTATGTCTACACAGCCCATGGCAACAAGCCTCCCAGCTCAATGTGTTGAATTTAACAAAGAAAGATTAAGGGTGACTTGATCAGAGTATGTAAGTTCCGACATGGGGAAAAGAACTTTGATAACAGATGGGTCTTCAGTTTAGAAGACAATTGTCTAAAATGATCCAATGGCTGGAAGGTAAAGCTAGACAAAGTTAGACTAGAAATAAGGTGCAACATTTTAACTGTGAGGGTAGTTAGACATTGGAATAATTTAGCCAAAGTTTTGGTGGGCTCTCCATCACTGGAAATTTTAAAGTCAAGACTGACTGGTTTTCTAAGAGATATGATCTAGTGCAAACAGGAATCAATTCAGGGACAGACTAGATTATCAATGTAATCCCTTCTGGCCTCATTATATATGAATCTATAGATATATATTTTAAGCACTGCTATTGAAAAATAAAAATTAAAGAAAAAAAACGATAAAACTTGTCCCATCAATTTTAATGGAGCAGCCAACAAGTCACTCCATTATGTAAGACATCGCTATTGTGGGAGTGGGGGTAATCAACCAAGTGCATGATCTGATAGGCTGAATAGTCCTATGTTCTTTATAAGTATCATGAAATGCTGTCTGAGGAACCAGCAATCAAATTTACCAAAAAAATACATGGTTAGTTAACATTAAAATATAAATGGGTTCCAAACCAGATTTCCATCCAAAACCCCCTGAACTTTGGGAGGTTCAAGAAACAGATCTGAAAGTTGAGCTTGAACCTATTGCTGTAATAAACAGTGGCGAGATAGAAGAACTAAAGATAAGGTTAGTGAATAAATGCACTCACTAGCTTTATCCCTCTGCGAATATTGGACTTAAATACAATTGAGGTCACATGTAAAGTACATTTGATTCTCCTAACTGCCTTTCATTACTAACGATATCTCAATTTTAGACATACATTTATTTCTAATAAATTTATTTATCATAAACTTACTATTTTCTCACATATATTTGCAGATTATTTCACCAGAAGTAATAATTCATGTAAATGAGGTGACAGGAAATGTTATTGATGCTGAAGAAATGAATCTCAGAACATGTCAAGCTTGTTGCATTATATCTCGTGATTCCCATTGTATGACAGTCCCAAAATGTGTTCTGTATTTTGACTTTGGCAGGTTGAGAAGTAAGATTTGATAGTCTCTCTCTAGTTCTTTAATGCATATTTTCCCACATCACAAAACCACCAGGCAATTTGCTGTACTAGGCAGAATCTGCCTCACAGTTATCCAGGACTTGAAATAGACAATACTGTAAATCTTGTCTGAGTTGCATTGGCAGAGCTATAGGAAACAGCTCACATAGCACTTGCCTGCACTATGGCCAGCTGCATTCAGTGATATTAGCTTCTTGCTTTCATGATCACTGACTTCATGTAAACTAGAAAAAACAAACCATTACTTTTGTTTGGTATACATCTTTTCTTTCAGAAAAAAATTCCCTTTTATCTTGCCATGACTATCCTTGGCCTTCAAAAAATGAAATATGTCTTTTTCATAAGGACTAGAGAGGCATACATTTTGTTCACGTTATTTTTGAACAAAAGAAATAATTTTATGATGCCTTGAAAATAATGTTAATAGTAGCAAAATATGGATTGCTCAGCTATCTTGTATAATCATTTACTGATTCACTATAGCATTAAGGGTCCTTGACTTAATCTTTAAACCTTTAAAGTTTGACAGGATGGAACCTACAGATGATTTACTACAGTTTAATTATTGACCTAACTTAATACCTAGGCTATACTGCAAATGCTTGTGCCATGGATGGTTTAATTAATTACTGGTCAAGTATTTAATTTCTGTACCTTTGAAGATTTTCTGCTGCTAATATGACTTGGTTAATTTTCATAGCATTGATAGAAGTCTGTATGTCTTGTCCAGTTATTACATTCAAGACCTGAAAAGAGGGAAAAATGAGATATATTGCAAACTGCTGTGTATCATACATTTTAATTATCTCACAAGCCCTGTTCATTCTGAACTTAAACTATCTTTTGCAGAACCAGGTTCAGTCATGCTCAATTACCCTGATGTACCAGCCTAAAGTAGTAAGTTTCCATTGTTAAAATAATCAAAACAATAGAATTTACAATAATGTTGAATGTTTCCTGACTTCCTGATGGTGCTATCTTCATTTCTGATGAATTACATATAAATGCATAACTACATTTCCTTTGTCTCGAGCCACATCATCAGATTGGACTTCCAGTTGAGAAAAGTCATTAAGGCAGATCTCAATGAGAATCACGAGAGCTATTCATCGGTAGATATTCATCTGTGGCATGTATTTGTAAATATTATTTTGATAATTCAGTTTTCAATAGACAGTAGAATTTTGCTAATGTACATACTTTAGGATTCATAAGTGATAGCATTTGCTAGCTATTTCTTAGCAAAAATTTACCATAATAGCAATGAACTGTTGTGAGGTCTCAGGCAGTATTACTGAGACAATTATGTTTACTCACTCTGCGACAATGAGTATTAGTACACAGTAAATTATAAATAATTATATAATCTTTAGTTGTGAAAATAAAAGTCCTATGGAAAATCACACGGAAATTCCCACAAAAATTACAGAATTATATCCCTACTATTTTAGGTTTTTTGGACCATCCTTTATAGTTTAATAGAAAGTTCTAACCTTCTTGTATAATTCTAAAGTATGGTTCCAAATATCTATACACAAAGATATACATTTATATGACTCTAATAGCCTACAGAATGTATATCTATGGAATCCTCTTAAATTTCAATACCTAACTTAAATTCTTTCTGAATCTCTAGGACCTTTCCATAGGTTAACCTTTGGGGTTTTTTTAATAGTTGTCAGTTCATTTACTTGATAATTTGCAGTCTGTCTAGCTCTCATTAGTGCTAACTAGTCCAAATTGTTTTTAGACATCTCAGATACAGCTACCAATTGCAGTTTTTTTTTAACTGTGTGCTATGTTGAAACTGGACTGATCCTTTACACCAGAGCTAAATTCATCATCTTTCTTCTTCCCGTGGTAAGCAACAATAAATATCTACTTTCCCTTTGAGGACTACCGAAAGGTCCAGAATATCCTCATTAGGAAAGCTGTGGTTAACTGCATAGATCATAGCACTGTGAATAATACATCCATGTGGGAACATTACTTCATGTGCAGTTAGTTACATGAGACCAGAAAACCTAGGAACAAGAAGCCAAATTCCCAATGGAAATTGGGGAGTTTCCAATTTTCAATGCAAAGGGGAAAAAATCTGAGAAAATTTGAAATCAGGTGTCTTGAAGCACGTACAGCTGTAATATAGTGCCATGAAATGAAATGGAGCCTGAGCTTCTCTAATGCAGAACAGTCAGCACAGTGGCACATACAGAGCTTGGCTGATGACTCATCATGTCAGCTAATCAAAAAGGATCATGAATTTTAAAGTGCTGGCTTTTATGTAGCCAAGATTGTGAAGGTCGGGATAAATTTGAATGAGAAGTTGCCAGTATTTGGAAACTTAAATTACTTTATAGTTGTTTTGCTAAAAACAAACGCTTGGAAAACTGCATTTTTGAAATCTTACCTTATGAAAGAAAGAAATATGGTCATTTTTTCACTCTTCCACAGCTCAGTCTTTTCTTACTGTAATAAATATTTGAAAAAACAAAAATATTAAAATATTCTAATCAATTAGTTAAAGGTCTTACAAGGAAAAAAAGATAGCATTAGGGCTAGTCTCTGTATTATTATTATTAGGAATGTATTCCAACATAGTAAGAATGTTGTGCCCAGTGAAGGATTTAACCCTGTACTATAGAAATCAATGGGAGTTTTGCTATTAATTTCAACGAGAAAAGGTTTCAGTCTTAAGTGCAAATGCATTGCCAACGTAGTTTGCTTAATTTACCAACAGGTCTCTGTTTTACACCCCAACTCCTTTCTTGGGAGGGATATGTTGATAGTACTCTGTGTCTGTAGGTGGAAGTGGCTTCCTAAATCTGTTAGTGCAGATGCAAAACAGAAACACAACAAGATTTCTTTAAATTCTAACCTTAAAGTTTGGGGCTAAGCCCTTTTTCCAGTAAAGAAAAAATAAATTGCATATGCTATTAAGTTTTCAAGTACGTAGTAGCTGTGAAAATCTGCAAAGGCTCCATCTTAAAAGACTAAAGTCCAGAATCTTGAAAGGGTAAGAGATATATATGACAAAAAGCATACAATTATAAAGTAATCAGAGGGAAAGTTTTAAAAATGTTCAGATCTATTTCTGGATTATTTTTCTCAGGTGTCTAATATTTTTGTATTTTCTGCCTATAACCTTCTAATTTAAGTAAGAAAATGCTAATGTGATATTTAAGATAATCAGAGCAACATGGTAGATTTGTGATTTCTACTCATTAAACACATTCAAACATTTTGTTCCCCATTAAGGTTATACATAGGTATAGGCAGCCACTGAAGATTTTCTGTCTGCTTTTCCCTGTGAATACCCTTAATACTGTGCTCTCTTGATCTATCACGCTGGGCTAAGCATAGGTGAACTGGTTGGCTAAAATAAGGACTCACTCAGACCTCTGCCCAAAACTCAAACATAAAAGTGTGGTTACATCGCCTAACCACTTGTTCCTCATTGCTTTTGCATGTTCAATTGACAAAGGAGTTTACAATGACTGTACCTTGCTTTGATATTTTTATAGACCCTTTATTACCAACTCATTTGAAGAAAGATAGCCAAACTATTGAGTTTTCATTCTGTATCATTAAAATGCAAAAGGGACATTTAAAACTAGATGGGACAAAGCAACAATAAATGCACAGAAAGGAGCAATCCTTCACTGATAGGGGAGCTGCCTAGCCAATGTGCTGGGTAATTTTCATCTCTAATTTCTATCTGAGGAGAAATCCTCAAGGGACATAAAGCCAATTTAGCCACCTCATGCCCTAATGCAGGTGGAGGGATGTATGGGTTGGGGCCAGGGCACACTATGCACTCTGTTGACCCTGATCAGTACAATGGTCCCTTGGGAGGCATCACAAAATAAAGCAGTCCTTAGGTTGATCTAGCATCTACCTGCAGCTGGTTCAGTGCCTACCCAAAAACAGAATCAGGGGAGGAAGAAAGGTGTCTTTCAGCTACCTCATCAGAGTTGCACCAAGTTCAATTCCCATTTAATGGACGGAGAAATGAGGCATAGATAGGTTGAACGATTTGCACATGGTCACCCAACGTTAAAGACAGAGCTCTGAAGATAAACTGAATTGTTGGTCTCTAATCCCTGGTCAGTGGAACATGCTATTTCCCACATAGCTTGATTTATCACATTTTATGTAGCGTTACAAGCAATTTTTCCTCAACAAAAACTGTGGTGTAGCGAAAGGTCAGATTGAAACAGGTCAAGGCTGGTGCCATTCTACTGAGTGTGTTACCCAGTCACAATCTGAAGTATGTGCAAAGGATCAGCCAGTATATGCAAAGAGACAGAAAGTCACAACATGAGAGAACTGGGAAGGTTGTACAAGTGTTATTCCCCCAATTTTGAAAAATAAATAAGGGCTGCCTATATTTTGAGAGAGTCACTTGTTGTAGTTACACTCCTAGTGGACGGCCACCTTAAGGGCCAGATTTTTCCTCAGCAACATAAGTGCAAATCCCCTTGAAATCAAGAGGAGTTGCACGAGTACCAGAAAATTGATTTTGGCTTCAAACTTGCTATTAAAGGAGTATTTTTTTCTATTATTGTTGTTGTTACGGGAAACAAATTGGAAGAAGTACATTGGGAAGGAAATTGCTTCACAAAGGCCAGGAATGTAAACACAAAGAAAATAATGAAAAGTTGGTCATGAAAAAAGAGCAGTTAGAAAAGTGGATAATGCAGAGAGAGGATAGCTAAAAAGCTGCCCTCACATATCTTCCATGTTCACATTTTAAAAAGTTGACTGTACACATATGGCTGCAGGCACATTTCCTTCCCTACTTAGGTTTTCCATGATTTTCCTGGAGAGGGATTAATTATTTCTTATCTTCTGTCCTGATTACCACTCTATCCCATATGCTGACTAATGCTACACAGATGAATAAAAAAGGCGAAGCCAAAAAGCAGCAACAGCAACACGGGAGTAGTGAAACATTGACATTGCAGACACTTCTGCAAACAGAAAATAAAAACAGTGATCTAGTGTGGAAAAGAGATAGTAAAAGAACCATATACACATGAGAATTTAGGGCCTAGGCTAATGCCCACTGAAGTCAATTAGAATCTTTCCATTGACTTCAGTGGGCATTAGACTGAGCTCTTAGAGAGTTTCCATAAATCTGTTTTCTGCCTCCACATGTACATTATAGTACAGTAACTGCCAACAGAGAACAAAGGGGTTGATCAAGATATAACATGAGAAGAGCTAGTGATTCCACACTGCAGGTGTTTTGTGAAATTTGTTCTCTGATTTCCTTTAGGAGCTGCTACCGCTGCTGGGCTTCACTTTGCTTCTTCAGTTTCTGTTCCCTGCTTCACTCTTTAGTTCTTGTATACAATACAGGAAATCTGGTTACAAACAATGCTCCAGTGCAGACAGGAATTTAAAAAGTATTGCACACAACATATGGGAATGCAGGGCCTAAACAGTATTTGTAGGCTAGCTGGGCCTTAAGCAGCTGTCACATATTCGATTGGGGATGAGTAGGTATTTAGCAGCTGCTGGCTCCTCTGTTGCTGCTTTAGCGTATAGCCCTTGCTGCACCATATAAACAAACAGTAAGACATGGGATGGTATGTTATGTGCTGGGATATCACCACACCTGGGACAGACTGTGATTCTGAATCCTCTTAATCATTCAAGAAGTAGCAATATCCTACCGTGATCTATAAGGGGTTGTAATGATCTTATCTGATCTCACATAAGAACTATAGTTGAGAAACTTCTTAGGAAAACCCAGGTTGCTCTGGGAGATATTGTTGGTGAGTCATTAGAGGGGCAGTTGTTTCATCTCTGAATCAGTGCTGAATTTATGTGCTCAGCACGATCCCGGAAGTGAAGTCTTTCACATGGGATGAAAATCCAAGACCTGTGTTTTCCTTACAGATTTAACTGGAAGTTATTCCTCATTACTTCCTACAAACAGTTCTGCTGATGGAGCATGCTGGTCCAACAGCTTCATATTCCACCCCAGAGTTGTTTCACTGGAGTGAAACAGCTCTTGTGTATACAGTTGTGTAAAGTGCTAGGATATTTTTTTTTTTTGGTGTTAAAGATTCTATAAATATAACTTCTTATTGCAAATACAACATGATCAATTACATGGAAAGTAGTAAGTTTAGTAGTAAACTTTGCAAATACCAGCGACGGGAGAGGTGAGTCCAACGCCAGTGTTTTTTGCTAGACGACTTTTAGGACTGATCCTGGGAGGTGCTGAGCACCACAAGTTTCACGGGAGTTGCAGGTGCTCAGTTCTTCTAAGGCCTTGTCACCACTAGTCTCTTCCACCTCTAACATTTCTCAATTGGTGCAGCTCCAGTGGTGATAATGTTGGGAGTTCTAGCGTAGACAAGACTTTGATGGCTACTGGCATTGTCACAATGTCATTTAACCCCATTCAGAACCAGTCCAGATGACTAGGTGGAAAAATGTTATCAAATGCCAACATCTTATGGACATTAGTGCCCTCACCATTGCTACTGCTTATGGAGCAGCACTGGTGAAAGTAATAGTGGAAAATTTCACCAAAAAAGACTAGTGCAGGCAAGGCCAATAGATCAGACCTACAAATCAATCAGAACTTTATTTCTAGTTGTAAAATAATAAAGAGCGACAGTGATTAAAATTGACGTGTTATGCTTCATGGGCTTTCCAGAACTCTCAGAACTCAGAGGAAAAGGATCAGTAGCATATTATCTAGTTGACTCACTTGTCATGCTTGTAAAGATTCCTTATTAGAAAAACTGTAAAAATTAAGTCAGCTCCTTCAACAGTATGTTCAGCAGTGGGAATAGAATTACAGCACCAATCTAATAAAGTGTCAGCTCATTTTTATTCACGGGGAAATAAATGCATGTTAAAATCTGTTAATAAGTGTCATTCTCAGGAAGGATGTGAAGCTGTTTAGTCTTAGCAACAACAAGCAAATTCCTGCATTCCTTACTCAGGTAAAACTCATCAACTTCAGGCAAAGTGTACATTAACTCTACTGGGAGCTTTTCCTGAGTAAAGAATGCAGGATATGACATTATGTGATCAGCACTTCAATTTCATATTGTTTAGAAAGGAAGTATTCTGACAGAAGAATATCACCGAAACAAAAAATATCGTATTTTTTCTAGATCAAAAACCTTTGATCACTGCATTCTCCCTCATGATTTTGTGTATCTGACTGAAAAACTGCTATATCATTTGACCTGGAGGATCTGGATCCTCCACTTGGAAGACTTTGATAGCCTGACACATCAATATAGTGTTGAATCGTACAAATGCATAGGCACAAGGCTTCAAGTTTGCTTCCAATTGTTTTGCTAGCTACTGACAAAACCAGAAACTGCTGTTCTGTTTGCAAAGCCCAAATTCTGCTTTCTGTTACAACAGTGTAAATCTGGAGTAACTAAAAAAAGTTAGTCCAGTTTTGCTCTGGTATAAGTGAGAGCAGAATGTAA